TTATTATATTGATATTTTTAAACCCCTTGTAAATGTTACTATAATTTTTTTTTTTAGTGCAATTTGGCTTCCGAAGAAAGCACGGAACCATCTAACAAGTGAACAGATTAACATCCGAAATACGCTCAGCCTTCGAACAGCGAGAATATTGCAGCGCTATTTTCCTTGACGTATCTGAAGCTTTCGACCGAGTTTGGCTCATCGGACTCATGCACAAAATTAAAACGTATGTATTTGCCAGCATACACCAACAAGCTACTGGAATCATACCTCTACAATAGGGTATTCTCAGTCAGATGCAACGCAGCTACTTTGGGCGACTACATCATCGAAGCTGGAGTTCCACGAGGAAGCGCATTCGGCCCGTGTCTATATGTTTTGTATACTGCGGATATTCCTACAAATGCACAACTAACAACGTCAACGTTCGCCGACGATACCGCTATCCTTAGTCGCTCCAGATGCCCAACGCAGGCAACAACCCAACAGGCTAATCATCTTATAATAGTGGAAAGGTGGCTGTCCGATTGGCGCATTAAAATAAACGAACAAAAGTGTAAACCAGTGGTGGGCACGAAATCTAACGTTCGGAGCCGCAGCTCGGCCAAACAACAAATTACAACAACAACCACCACCCTCGCGATGGTTGTCGTCGCGTTGTGCGCAAACGGACCCTTAATAATTGTTGTTGCAAACTCGTGACCGAGGAGTCGGGTCCGCTACCTGCTTCGAAATTTGTGTAGCATTGTTTTTGTAAATCTCCACGGCTCACTGGCCGCGCGACCCGACCGTCTGGACCGATTTGCTGACGCCAAAAATTACGAATAACGGAGGGAGCCTTGAGAGTAGGGATGTCGGAAATATATCAAAATATCGATATATCGATATATTTTCTCTTAAAAAAATATTATTATCGTGATATTTTTTGGGCAAAAATAGTCGATAATAATATTTTTGAGTTGGTGTTCTCCGATATTTGTTGCGAAAGAAAGGAAATGCAGGTTTACTTGAGTATGCCATTTTGTAGTTGGGAGACAAATCCGTTGGAATTCTGGAACTCACAAATTTCAACGATGCCGATGCTAGCGAAGGTTGCTTTAAGTTTTCTTATCACGCCTGGAAGTTCGGTTCCATCTGAACGGTTGGCTTCTGCCATTAAATGTATTGTCTGTGACTCCCGTAGTCGAATGACAGACCAGCATATAACCGAAAGAGTTTTTTTTAAATCATTGAAGAAAGATTTATTTTGTAATTAAGAGTAATTAAGTGCATTAAATAAGAGAATTAAGTAATTAGAATTATTAAGTACATATTCCATGAATTCCATGAAACTTTTTTTTTGTATTAAGTTTTTTTATAAATAAATTTGAATACAATGTCCTTAATAATTTTGTTATTTTTTATTTCAAAGAACTTAAATAAAAGTTGCTGGAGAGTGGGTATAAATATTTGTTGTTTTTTTCAATTCACTTTTTAAATAAAAAATATGTCTTATTTGCAGTTCATGGCGGATGAAAACACATATTAAAACCTTTTTTTAAATTTAAAAATAACCTTTTTTCAAATTTAGCTGACTATAAAAAATATCGAAAATACTCGATATATCGATTTTTTTGGGTGATATTTCTGAATATTATCGATTGATATTTTTTTCACAGCAAATATCATCAATACGATATTTTTTCAAAAACCAACAACCCTACTTTGAATCAAAAAGCAGCCAAATCGGATAATTTTTAATTATGTAGGTTTTTATTGTTTTGCCCAAGCGCAAAAGTATGCAACACATTTTTGTTGCTAACAATCCATACCGTTAAAGTTTAAACTTTAAAGGTTTGGTAAATTGTGGGAGAGGAAGAGATAAGTACCGGGTATATTATAGCGAAACTCGACTATAGCCGTCTTTTTTGTTTAATTTGAGTTGGTATACATAAACAATCTATACATTTACATTCATACATTACATGCAATTTTTTATCAAATGTTATGGACGGAATTTAAAGTTTTGAAAAATATTAAATAATAAACTTTTAAAATGTTTTTTTTTTCGAAAAAAAACGTTTTTTTTATTTATTTTTATTTTTATAAAAAAAAAATACGCAATTTTTTCCAATAATTTTAGTGTCGGCCATAACCACCTACATAAATATGTTCTACATTTCTTTCTTTTTAACACGGCCCTTTAACCCTTAAAACTCATACATCTCCAAAGTCTTTTCGACCTTTATTTATGAATCATTCATTAAAACTAATCAAATATTTTAATAAAAACTTATTCGTTGTTTTCAAAAAAGAAATATCAAATTATGTCGATGTTATTACCAACAAATAGTTTGAAAATAAATAAAATAATAAATTTTTTTTTTTTAAATAATAAAAATTGACTTACAACTTATGGAAAGCGTTACATTTTCTCAATTGATGTCGCGAAATGAATACGAATAAATCTCACAATTAAGTCAATAATAGTGTTTACTTACTCTCTACTTATTCTTTATAGAAGGATATACCCTACGGCAAATTATAAAATGCTAAGTTTAGACATTATTAATTTTATATTTATTGGGTATATTTGTTTCCATGTTTGGAAAACTAGAGAATTTCAAATATGTAATTGTCTTTGCATCTGCTTTTGATTCTGAAAAGAAGAAGTTCCAGCCAAGGCACCTGTAAAAAAAGTTCACAAAAACAATAGACGTTTTCTTTTGATTATTGATATTTTCGTAAGTTGATTAACTTAATTTTAAGCTGCAGGAAGTTGACACATTTGGCAGTCGTCGAGCGTCGCAGTCACAAAAATGTATGTGCCAGACTGTGCTAGATTTTTGAAGATAGAATTTGTGACTTTTTTTTTAGATTTTTTATTGTTATTAATTGGTTTGCGATATATGTTATATCCGGTTTTTCTTGCTTAATATTATTTTCAATCCGAAATATTTAGTTTTTCAGTTTCTAAACCAAACCAAGAATCGACATTCTTGGCAGTATTATATTATACACAAATATATGTATGTATGTATGTATATTAAACAGAACATTTCAACAAAAATTGGATGCAAGAAAGCATTTAAAAAGACATTGAGACAGATTTCCATTGAGGAATTTGAGACAGAATGTAGTCTAATTCAATTCGAAAATTTGTCCAATTTTAAATAAAAGACGCAGCTTGTTGGATTCATTTTATTGTTTTTTTATTTAAATATTGTATATGTTAAGAAAACAATGCAAATTATAAAAAACGTATATATAAGAATGCTTCTATGAATTACAGTTAGTTAAAAAATGTATACTTATAATTGTTTTGATTTTTGTGCTAATTTGAACAAATCTTATTTTGTTGGTAATTTTTATCTTGTTTTTGGATTTACCTGTAAAATATTTAGTATTCTCGAGATCGTATCTTTCAATAGTGTGGCGTTTGATCAAATTGCAAATTTGGAATCCTACAAATAAGATATCTGTAATAGGTTTCACATACACAAGAGGTGAGCACGAACAAATTATATAGAAAAAACCTTAAGTAGTCTATCCTATTTTTGTATAATACTTTTGCTTATTTCAAACGAAATTTATAATTTGGGATTGGTTCATTGACCTCACGCAATTAGAGGGTCTTTCAGACCCGGGGTCCCAGTGCCAAATGACTCTAGTTTTGGGGCAAGTAAGGGCGTAACTCTACACGTGTCTCGTATGCGTCACAGGCTGCTCCTCCCCCGATCTCTGCTCACTGCTCCATTCCGATTTGTCACATTTTTAAGTTGCATCTTCGCACATGCACTACATAAAATTGTTTAACTTGGCAGTTAGACTACTTAGTGCTTTGGGCCTATATTTTCATTTCATAAAAATATATGCTTGTATTTAAAAAAAAAAAAATAATCAATTAGATTACTGAGCTTTTGAATGTGTCTTGACTGCTAGTGCGCGTCTACATCATCTTCATTTAAAATAAGACCTCCATACTGATAAACAAAATCGCCTTTAATTCGCCAGTGTTGTACTAATAGAGTGCACAAAAAGTAAACCTATAAACTTATAATTAAAACTTAAAATATATGCACACAAAAGTTTTGGATAAAGTATATGTATGATGTATATTGATTGTAAAAAAAAAGTACAAGGGAAGCGGGCATAAGCTCATTAAAATGCCACCCCAGCCTGGTGACCGGGTAGCTCGCAAATTTTAGACTCATTAGAATTATAAAAAAACATAGGTAGCACTCAAAAACACCAGACTAAATTAGTTAATAATAAGGCTTGCTAAGGTAAAGTAAGGTAATGTTACGTTTGGCAAGGTATTGTACAGTTCGGTACGCTACGGTAAGGTAAAGTCGGGTTCGGCAATGTAAAAGTGATTTGGGTTGGACACTCTACTGGAACTGTACTTGTCACTATGTCGTGAAAGCTAAGCTAACTAAATTATCCATTACGTACCTTTCCAGCGAGGACTCTCATGACTTGACGATAATCCGCTGGGTTTTTGGGATTTCGATTTTTGTTTTGTTCGCCTATAATCGTGTGTATAGCATGCTTTTATATAGAATGTCAGAGTTAAATGCTTGAAGATGCTTTCCTCATTGCTCTCGTACAAAAGTTTGGATATTGAATGCAGGTGAGGAGATAGTTCAACGGTAGTTCAATGGCTCGTTACACGGCGAGGGCAGGCAAGACACCTCCTCGGGGCTCTCTTGAATCATTTCTTCGGTCTTTTTGACGTAACTTTAATTAGATGCTAATTAAGTGTAAATTGAATGCATAGAATTACATACATACACACATGGTTGCGGATGCAAAGGGTGTCATTGTTTTTTCTTAACTATTGCTCATCGAACAGTGGTTCGGCCTCCTCGTCTGCTCATTAGACTACATGTATACATAAAAGTTCAATTCTATCGATCATTCTTGGTTTTAGTTACTAGGCTAATGCACTTAACGTACATATATTCTCGCTTTGCATGTACTTAAAAATATTGTAAGTTAAGTCCCGGATCATAAGGGGATTTCATTAAAAAAATCGATTAGAGATATAATTGGATGACTTACGCTTAGGTATACATATATGTATATATATTATATATAGCTTAATTGTTCTAACTGTATGCATTTTTAATTTACAACTTTATAAAAATTTCAACATTTTGAAAAAAATTTAAGTGGGATTTTCTATATCGCTCGATTTGTTTCGTTTGTTATCTCGTTTTTTTTAAATAAACTCTCTTTTAATTGAATATTTCTTTAATATAATATAATCTTGTATAAGTATTTTCGTTTGTATATATATATGTATATATTTAGGTTTATATATTTTTGTATATGTCTGTTAATATACCATTGCTGCCTTTTGTACCAAAACGAGCTAGCCTAAATAAAAAAAACAAATATGGTGAGTGGTATATCTGCTAAAATTGGGTTTTTACAATTGGATTTTCGATTCTATAAAATTGGGATTAGATGGTGTGGTTAGAGGACTCTTGCACCAAAACAGTGTCTTCCGTTCTGTTGGGTTCATGTCTATCTGCTGTTGCATTTCCTGCGGTTTATGGTTGCTTCGCTAGTGGTTCGTTCCATTCTCGCATGTTCATCGATTTAATTACTAAAATCTACATCAGTCGTTTGGCACACAAGTGGCGCGCAGTGGCGCGAATTACGGGGCAGAGCAGAGGCTCCTGCTCCTTCCCGGCTCTGTGTTTACTTAGCAGCAACTGCCACTGCAACTCAAAAAGAAACAGCAACTTCAGCTGCTTCTTTTGCCATCAGCAACATCGCTCCACTGCATTCGATCACCTCCTGCCCTGGGGCTTGACTTTCCTTTGTGTTATTGCTTCGTGATGCTGCTGTCACTGTTGCTATTGCAGCTGGTATTGCTATTGCTATTGCTGTTGCTTTTACTGATGCTGCTGATGCTTCTGCCATTGTTGCTAGAGGCATCTGCAGCCGGAGGTGGCAGCTTGCTCGTCGGTGCCAAACTAAACCTCGGTTCCGTCCTCGCCCTCATCGTCAAACAGCTGGCTGGTGCTGCCCAGGCCGCTGCGGGTCGTCGTCACTGACATCTTCTTCTTGGGCTTTGGCGGTGGGCGCGGCGGAATCTTGACGACTTTCGGTGAGTCGCCGCCTCCGTGGCTGCCTCCATTGATGGGCGAGGAGCACCCCCGGGTCGGAGAGAAGGAAGCAGACTGTCCCAGACCGGCCCCACTGATGTTTGATCCCGGCAGTATCGTAATGCCATGTTGCCTTCCGCCATACAACGGCTCTACGTCCGAGGCGTACTTGTGATGTTGCTGCTTTTGCTGCTGGATTAGCTCGTGAATGGGCTCGTAAATCTTGCTGGTGTTGCCCGCCGAGGCAACCGACGACATACTGGGCGTGGCCGGCAGAGGACGGTCGCGCATCGAGTACTGTGGCTGCACGCCCTGGCTGACCTGCCCGCCAGACACTTTGGACAAGTTCAGCGTTGAGTTACCGCCGGCGGTGGTGCGGAGTCCCAGATTGTCATAGACAGGCTCCGCCTGCAGCTCCGCAGTGGTGGCCGTGCCCGTCTCGCTGGGATTCGGCGAGGTTGGACTCTGGAAGTCGCTCAGTTGGCCGACTGTGTGGCCGGTAGCTCCCGAAGTGCTGGGCGCCCAACTGGGCGCGCGCGGCTTTCGCGGAATAGTCATGTAGCCCTGCTTCATCACTACCGTCGAGGCGGGGCTGTAGACGACGGGGGCAGGCAAGAAAGGCGAGGTGGCGGCCATCGGGTGCTGTTGCTGTTGTTGCTGCTGCTGGAGCTGTTGGTGGAGGTTCTGTTGCTGCTGTTGCTGGAGGCGACTGCTGTTGGCGGTGGCAATCAGCGCCAAGTTGCGCGACTTTGGGTGTTGTAGCGTCATGAAGCCGTTGTAGGGGCCGTGGCCTGTCAGCGTGGTGGTGCCGTAGATGCCGTGCGGCGTCATGTGGGTGTAAACCGGGCTGGTTAGTGATGGCGGAGAGCGTATGCCATAGATCACCTGGTCGGGAATGTTGGACTGGGAGGACTGCATGGAAGGCGACGTGGGCGGAACGCGAGCGGGGAAGGCCAGCAGGTCCGGCGGCAGGCTGTTTCCGTAGGCGTCGTCCACATAGGTGTGCCGCGTTCGGGGCGTGGTCGTTGTGTCCGACAGAGCCACCGAGTGGGTTTCATCGTCCGGCATAAGATTGGCTGCTGGAAAAAATAAATTGCATTAATGTTACCAATTTATCAGAATAATTCGATAAAGTATGCGTATTAGGTTCTAAAATGTATTGATAATTAAATTAATCCTTTTCGAATTTAAACTTGAAACAAATGTTTAGTTCAGTGTCTCTAATGAACCACAATATTTTGTTGGCTTATGCTTTAGTTTTGCCATTAAAATATAATTTATGAAATAATAATATTTGTTTATGACTAATGTTTAAAAAAAAATCCCCAATTAGGTTTTAGATTTTATTTTCGAAACGTTTAAAACGTTTTTGAGTGATTTCCAGTTATAGTTTAATCGCCGACTATCTTTCTGAATTTCCGACAGAAATTTCAGAAGCCTCGGCCACGTCGCCTGGGAGCTGGCACATGTAGCCTTTGTTTCGCCCATCTCAATTCCAATCCCAGTCCCAATCACATCCTCTTAACCCCACCACACGCCTGATACTCAAACCCAATTCAAAACCAAAAGCCAAGAGCAACACACAGACAGCATTAGCGATACGAGCAAAGTGCATCAATTGCATTCAATTGGCTTTGAAATTGTCATCGCAATTCAATTGCCAACTGACAATTGACAATTGGAAATTTAAAACAAACATCCGCTGACCCGATGGCTAAGCTGGGACTGTCGCGTTTGTCCTGCCCTCTCGGAAACGACCGTGAGGGACCAAGCCCCAGCCCAGGCTCAGGACCAGGCAGGAGCTGAAAGGACCTCGCCGAGCTGCCTAATGCTGCGGAAATACTAAGTGTGTTGACGTTGGCATTGGCAATTTCAATGGCGTTAGCATTGGCAGCGTTGGACGGCGGCCTTCATGTTTGACAAATAGACGGAGCGTGTGTTAACAGCGCGTCGCATCCTTTAGTGCCCAACCACCTCTGGGGCGACACATGCAATGAGTTATGGCCCGTTCATAATTTCCAGCAGATGTAACCGGCTTTGTCGGGACGTGTAATCAAATGCATTTTACTCGGTTGAGTTGAAACTCAAATTTGTGCTTCAACAGCATCACCAAATTAATGACCAAGCAGTGCGATTCAATGATCCTCAGTGTTTTTCCTCCTTTGACATTTTTGCTCGTCGTGTGGAAAGAAGAAACCAATTTCGTGAAACGGTACCTCGCTAGGAGTGTAGTTGGTTTAGCGACGTATTCGGTTATTTACTTTATTTGGGACAGATGTTCGGACACCTCAATTCTCAGGAGTAAAAACATTACAGTTTATATTCCTCTAACTTAGTCTAAAAAGGGAAAATGGGAGCGAATGGGGGAGCTTCTAAAAAAATTTGAGAGTGCTCACACTGTCAGTGTGCCGCTGCGGAGAATTTCCGACAATATGCACGCGTGCTATGGAAAATGAGAGTTTTCCCACCATTGGTCTAAATATTAAAACAGGTTATTTTCTGGCAAAAAAACGGAAATCGGAAACGGAAAAAAAAAATCTCCCATTATTTGAGCTACTTTTCACTGACTATCACTAATACTTATACGTATTGAAACGTATTCGAGTAATCGTACTTTTTATACTCGGTACTCGTAGAGTACGTAGGTATATTGTATTCGTAACATAATGTATTTTAACATAATGTGAGAAGGAATTATCTATAATCTATATACATATATCTATATCTATATATATATCATATATCGATAGATTCTATATCATAATCTATATGTAATATAGATCCCCATATCTATAATATATGTAGATTCTATGTTCTTGAGCATTCTCTTTAGCATCAACAGCCGAGTCGATATAGTCGTGGATTTTAGAGACTGTAAGAGATAGAGCTATAGGATTTGGCATGAAACCCCTGTAATGCCCCCGCAGTTCAAGTTTGTTTTAAATTTTTGACACGAATCCTCCTGCAGTCACATATTAAAAATTTTCTGTAGTGCCATTACAGGAATTTTTTTTCTGTAAAAACTTTTGATGCCAAACTAATTTTATATCTTAAAAACAAATTTGGTCCAATTTTTAGAGGAGATATACACATACTATATACAGTAGTGGAGAATGAAATCCGGACACCGAAGTAATTGCACTAAATTTGAACATTGCATTAGTGTGGTAGGAACGTGTGTTATTATAACGAGATGAAATAATTTTCGTTATACCCGGAAGGCATTTAGCTTTGATGATCTGAAAGCATTTTTTAAGATAATAAGCTTCTTGAGTTAAAAAAAAATTTTTTAAACAGGTCGAAAATGCATATTGGTCCATATTGGCCTTACAAGCGGAAAATGTAAGCTTCCGAGGAATGAGCGCTAAGGTTGGATTTAGTAAGTAAATCTTTATTTTCTGATTTCTTACAACATTTTAAGAAAACCAGAACTCTAAAGCATTAGCCAGGATCAGGAAAGAAGAAGTAGACACACTACCACGAGGATCCTTTCATGATTAAGCATGACCGATCATTTCAAATCTGCGAAACATATAAGAAGAGTTTTTTCAATCGAAAGGAGTCAAAATAAGCACTCGAACCGTTCGAAGGAACATTAAGGAGGCAGGACTTCATGGCCAGTCTTGACCGCAAAAATTCTCAAGAAAAGGCTAAAGTGGGTCAAAATGCACGAAACTTGGACTGTACATGATTGGCGGAACATCATTTTTTCTAACAAAACCAAAATAAACCTTTTTGCTTAAAATGCACTATGGGCCAAAAATTCCGAATTGCGGCTTTTGTTCCGTATTATTAAATTGACTTTATTTTCTGAATTAGAATACTTCAAGAAAACTGAAACATATTTTTAAACAAGAAAGGAAAGCTAACTTCGGGCAGAGCCAAAGTTGATATACCCTTGCAGTTAAAACCGGATAAATATCGCAAACATCAGATATAGTTTGCCGATCCTTATGAAAATATGATAATATAACCCAATTTATTATAATATAAAATCTAAAAATAAGTCCCAAACTTCTATCTTCAAAAATACCAAAGTTGGTATTTTTACCAAAAACCATTTGCGATCGTTCAGTTATATGGCAGCTATAAGATATAGTCAGCCGATCGTTATAAAATTTGGTAGGTCGGATTATCTGACTAAAAATATAATCTGTACTAAGTTCCAGCTTTCTATCTTCAAAAAAACGAAAGTTGGGTCATTTCCGATCAATCAGTTATATGGCAGCTATAGGATATAGTCGGCCGATCCTTATAAAATTTGGCATGTCGTAATGTCAACTTGCCAAAAATAGCTTTCATGTTAAATTTGAACTCTCTAACTCTAAAAACACCGAAGTTATACTATTTCCGATCAATCAGTTATATGGCAGCTATAGGATATAGTCGACCGATCCCGGTCGTTACGACTTATATACTGCGTGCAATGGAAAGAAGGGTGTGTGCAAAGTTTCAAGTCGATAGCTTTTAAACTGAGAGACTAGTTCGCGTAGAAACAGACAGACGGACATGCTCATATCAACTCCGGAGGTGATCCTGATCAAGAATATATATACTTTATAGGGTCGGAGATGTCTCCTTCACTGCGTTGCACACTTTTGGACAAAATTATAATACCCTCTGCAAGGGTATAAAAATTGTAGACTTTGTTGGTAGTTTGTTATTCGTCCATATTTAAAGACTATGATCTGGCCTTTTTAAAAAAATTTGACGCGAAATTTTATGATTTTTTTTTTTGTGATTTTATGTTTAAATTGTAAATTAAACATAAAAGCTTAAATATGGAAATTAATCTTCAAGGTATGTAAAATGTATTATTACCACTAAATTTTTATTGCATGTTTTATATTGTTCAATCGTACAACATGTTGTTGGTACGTTTTTAGGCCGCTACCTACAAATGTTTCTGATATTCTGTGGAGATATTCTGTTGTGAGTCTAGGCCCCAATCGAGGCAATTTAAAGCTGAATTTTATTACCCAAACTGGTAAAAATCAAATGGTGAATAAAATTTTTTCCCGATTTACGGCAATACTCAATGTTGCAGTTCCAGTTACATTTTTTCATTCAACGTTGCTTGACTTTTGGAGCGACAACTACCACCAACAATTTGCTCTGAAGCACTGAATTAAAGAAGGCTGAATTAAGTGATGTCCAGTAAAACAAAATATGGTAAAAGAGAAACTCAGGGTATTCTTTGGATTCATTAACACTAATTTGCAAAAAAAGAAACAGAATGCTCAACCGTTTTAAGGGGTTATATACAGTTGTGATATATGAAAAAATTGATTTTTTTTTATTGCATATTCCTTAAGTATATTCTATTGGAAATACTCTCACAAAAATTCAAACCGATCGGAGCATTAGAACCGAAGCTGTAGCTATTTATAGCGCACTATCTGCATATCAAACTTGAAACTTTAAACGCGATTATCTCAGAATCTTTTTTTTTGGAAATTACCTTTGCGGTGGACACGATTACTAAAAAACTACTAATCCTACCAACACCAAATTTTACCCACTTATTTATTATTATATTAGCTAGTCCGTGAACGAGGGATTTTCAATTTTTTTGAAAACTCCTTTTTTAAAGCACAAAAAACGAAAATCTTATACCTTGAAAAAGTACATTTTTTGTTAAAAACGTCGCCATTTATTTTTAAACAAAATTTTTAACAATCCCTCGTTCACGGACTAGACAATACAATATACTAACTAAACTTTTTTGAATTTTGGATTTCGGATGAACCGTTTTCGAGAAATCATGTCCACCGCAAGACACCATCGAAAAAACACGATCCGGGAATTCGGCTATAACATTTTTGTTATGTAATATTTTTTTATAAAAAAATTTAATTAAGTACCCAGAAACATGTACTAAACAACATCGGTAAAACATTTTTCATAAATATTTTCTATGGTGTCAAAAAAAAATCGATAAAAATCCATATTTTTGCGCGGTACAACTGTATATAACCCCTTAAAGAATAGCATGCGCAATGTGTTTCTTAAAGATGATATTCCACCCGAAAAGTCTGGTCGCAAACGCTTGACATACACTGAGGCAGGATAACGGTTA